GAGGTTTGTGGTATTCATTGCAAATATTAGAGTAATAAATTAAGATATTTTTCTTTTCATTTCTTTAGACACACTGGTGCTTTGGAGTGTGCTAATAGCATGTCTCTTATGTACACATCTAAGAAAGTGTCATTCACGTAAGTCACATCATTATTTCACTTGAATTTTTTTTTTATCTTTGTGCAACATGGTTTAAGCCAACAGTTAAAGGTGCTATTCATAAATGAACGGCAATAAATAACACTATGTCATATTTGACCTGCATTGTGTAGAGGTCATATAAAATGTTTATGTTAAAATCCTCCCTTGGGCTGTAGAACTGGTCCATAGCAACATTATAATTCTATTTCTTGTTATTCATGTGTCTGAGCACACTGGGTTCATTTACTAGCAAATGAACTGGATTGGAGAACTTACTTTTGGACATTCTCTTGGTATTTTTTTTAGTGGTTTTATACACCTAAAAAAATTGTGTGAAGTTCTATCATCATCACTATTTCAACTTATTGCAAGGTACAGCTGTAGCTTATCTTGCATGTTCCCTGATATATAGAATTTCTTAATCTGACACATTCCATAACTTCTAGGAAAAAGGTTTACAGAGGAAGGAAGAAGTTGACTGCTATAGATTGGAACTACCACAATGATCTGCCAAATGCCACAAATGAGGATGCTGAGACTATTATCACAAGAAAGTATAATCAAAGGACGAAATCTTGGGATGTGAGGACAGTGAAAGTGTCCAAAGACTACGGATACATTTGGATTCTAATGGCAAAGATTTTCAAACTTCGAGTTGATGATGATGATTCAATCGCACGGGAGGTTCCACTAGAGGCTGATGATCCAAGACTTATTGCTCCCACGATTGCAGAAAGTGAACCTCCTCCATCTCATGAGCTCCTTGCAAGAAGGGGGAGTAGATTTTCACAATTTTCACAAACAAGTAGCTGATTAGCGTTGCCAAAACCAAAGCTTCACCAATTCTAGCTTGTAGTATATTTTTTTGAGACAGTGCGAGTCCTACATTGACACATTTGTGGCAGATGGACATTATAGCACTAGTCAATGCTTGTTTAAATAATAAAGTCCTGCCACAGTTCATGGCTCTCTTTCCTTGTTTGTAGTGGGCGGGATATACAATCATTTTCTGTTTTCTTAGCTATTTTCTTGTGATTGATTACCAGCGACAGAAAACAAACAGGTATATATTCAACATCTACTTCCTTCCTCAATTTGTACAGCTCAAAGCTACACCTAGCTAATCTACCATATAGTTTGTTAATTCTTTGTAAATCAGTCCACAAGCAAGAAGTAATAAAACGAGACTTGATAACCTTTTCATGCCAAACTTGTAAATTACTTGTCATTCTGTTATCTTAGCATCCTCTGCAACTTTTACATACGTAAATTTCACTAACGGACAAACTTACAAACCAACTTAACGTCTGCTCGCGCATAGGAGTATTTTCAAGTATACAAATATTCAGTCGCTTAGCATTTTTCAGCACGCGACACGTACTGGAGCGAGATGCAACTTTTTGAATTTTTAAAAAAACTTGGCATAATCAATGCAATCGCGTAACCCACAGTGATTCCTCAGACCATCAAAACTCCCATATACAAGCCTCACGTACACCAGACAGCAGAAGAAAGGTAANTTCATGCCAAACTTGTAAATTACTTGTCATTCTGTTATCTTAGCATCCTCTGCAACTTTTACATACGTAAATTTCACTAACGGACAAACTTACAAACCAACTTAACGTCTGCTCGCGCATAGGAGTATTTTCAAGTATACAAATATTCAGTCGCTTAGCATTTTTCAGCACGCGACACGTACTGGAGCGAGATGCAACTTTTTGAATTTTTAAAAAAACTTGGCATAATCAATGCAATCGCGTAACCCACAGTGATTCCTCAGACCATCAAAACTCCCATATACAAGCCTCACGTACACCAGACAGCAGAAGAAAGGTAAGCCTCCATAACACATAATCTTCTGTTGTTTACGCTAAGACTAAATTTGTAAATAATGTAAAGAACTAGACCAAATTTTACTCACCCTCTCCCGCTATAGACCAACAACATGGACACTCCAAACTGCCAAAAGGCCAAACAGCCCAAAATCCAGGTATGAGATTTTTAGATGTAGCAAGGAGCATCTTTAAGTAACAAGACACGTAGGGCTCAGCCAAATGGTACCATAATGGCGTCGAAACATGTGGAAACAGGTTTTCTCCAAATCCCGCCCCATTCCCCTACGGCATATTCTCTTCCCTCCCCTCCCTAACCTGTTTCCTTGATTGCCTTCTGAGCTCCTGATGAGACAAGGCTTTCAACATTTTGTTGAGCTAAGATGCTTTTTGTTTAAAAGGATGAGCTCATCGTATCAAATTATCGTGCAGTCCGGTAAAAATAAGCTAACCAATAATAGAAAAGCTATATGGGTGGGTTAATCACTTCTGCAGCTGTCCCCAGAGGAGGAGATTGAAGTCCGCAGTTGCCTGGCTGCAATAGAAATAGAAGAGAGAAAAAAAGATTTTGAAAAGAAGGAAAAGGAGCTAAAAGAAAAGGAGGAAAAATTGATACAAAAAGCCAAAGAAATTAGGAATGCCACCGTGGAAGCCAAGCGGGTGGCTGCCCAGCTTCAGCTAATGGCGGGGCAGCTAGGCCACTTGGCTAGCAACATTTTGGCAGAAACCAAGAAATAGAAAAATATAAAAAGAAATTCAAACAACAACATGACCTTTGGTAAAAATTTATTGTACAAATCGAGTTTTCAAAATCAAAAAAAAAAAAAAAAAAAATTGTGTTTATTTTAAAAATAATAAATAAGAAAGACCTTAAAAATTTTTTACTATCTAGAATCTTTTTTTAATCTTTAACAACTACATAACTTTCTCCCACACAGTAGAACTTTTTTCTTTTTCCACTTCTACCCTCCTATTCTTACCTCACCCACT